GACAATGAACACAGTAATTCATAGCCCTGAATTATGTGCATAGCATTTCCTATTAGTCAAATGGTATTAGAGGGAGAATAAGAGCTGATATCTGTCCTCATAAAAAGCAAAATGAAAGTGCAGCATCTTTTCTAGAACTAAACGGTAACTTTTACTCATGATTTATTGTTTGGATTGCAAGTAAACTGGAAATTCACTTCCCATTTAAGAAACTTACTTTTTTCACAAATATATTCATAAACATTTTTTTTATTATAAAATTGCACAAGATGGACATTTGATTAGTTCAACCATACTTCTTGCACATACAGTAAAAGAATCTGAAGTAAGTTTAGATGCCTTAGATTTGTGTATTCAGAGAGATCTTACACAGGTTGATGTCCCCCCCGCCCCACAAAAAATATATGGTTTATACTTTTGTCTTGAAAAATATTATTGAATATCCTACACTTCATGGATATAATGGTGAGAATGAGATGAGAAGTTACAAAGGGCTTCCCATGTTGTCAGTTAGATGAAACAGGAATTCATGGCTTTACAGAATATTTTCCTGTTTATATTTCTGTGTCTGGGTTCATATATTGCACTCAATTGTAATATTTCCTTATTTGGGCTTAATGTGACTCCAGACGTTATAGTTAACTGTGATTTATATATGAACCAGTTCACAGTGGCTTGCTCAATAAGTCATGATTAAAAACACACCACACCTTAAGCCAATGTGTTTGCTGTTTTGGACACTTTTTAAAGGAAAATGGCTCCCTGTAACTTTAGACAGTTTGGCTAATGACATACTGATCTTAGAACAGATAAGTCCAGGAGCAAAAGGGAGAAAATTGGCAAGGCTTAAGGAACTCATTTCACCCCTCAAATTCTTCCCAATCCTGAAATGTTGCCCCTGCCCCATTCCATGGGGCTTTGGAGACCACAGATAGGAAATTCAGGGGCCATACATGAGCCATAGGTTGTGCACTGTTACTATGAACTATGGGTTGCACGGCATGCTAAAATAAAATCAAGCAGGCTCCATTAAGGATTAGGGCAGGGGTTGGGAACCTTTTTGTCTGAGAGAGCCATGAACGCCACATATTTTAAAATGTAATTCCGTGAGAGCC